AAAAAAAAAAAAAAAAAAAAAAATTATTTCTGCTGTATTACGGCTTCTTCGTCCTAATCGAATATCACAATTTACGTCAACGGGACGACAGGTGTAATCCGTTTCGCGTAATGTCGGAAGGGAGAAGGGAATTGTCTTTGATATCATTACGAGCGGATTTGTTACGCAAATGCCACTTGCAGGAACGAAAGAGCGCGGGACGTGTATATTTAAGCGAATTCACGGATAGAGGAGAAGCCGTTCGATCGGTATGACGTTACATGGTTTCATCTCGAGCTTAAGCGCGATGGTTTCAAAGGTTTCGAATCATCGCGTACCACAAAATCGTCGCGGAGACATCCTGCAGCCACCAAAGTCAATCCGCAAGTTCGTGCCGGGAATTGGGAAAACGATAAATATTACGGAAAAACATAATTTTCTTACTCTCTTTCGAGAGAGAGAAAAAATTGAGGATATTATTTTTCAAAAACTCATTAGTATTGGAGAGACACATTTTATATAGAATGTTTTTCTTTTTTGATATAAAATATTTTCGTCGAGATTTAAAAAAAAATTGAAAAACATTTTTTAATATGTTTCTCTTATTATTCTTTTGAAATGTTATTTTAATTTTTTGGTCACTGCCCGCATGGCTCATATATGTACGCGCGCGCGCATTATGTTTCATCGTGTCGATAAAATTTGTTGGCAAAATAATAAATATATACACTGCGGATTTCCGATATTCGAGGTAATTGTTGAAAGAAGTATAAGTGAATTATAGTTCTTCTCATAATCGTTTAAACGCTTCTTCGTTCCTTTGTTCTATCTTCGAAGAGAAAATTCTTTTTCCTTTCCCACGTATTATTATCATATTATCGGCTTTCACGTAGTCACCCGAGCCGATATCATTATTACGGCACGCAAGGAAGGTCGATAATTAATTACTTTTTTCGCTCTCGAACGTGTAAAAAAACCTCCTCTCGTCTTGCCTCTTGATTCTTAATTGCTATTATCTTTTCTTGCAGATCCTGGACGATGCGCTTGGTACACGACGCGAGTCTTTTCAGCAAAGACGTATCTTTTGAGAGCACAAACGGCCCGATATCCTTCGACACGTCGCATTCTTATGTCGGTACTGTTTTAGGTAAGTTGTTCATAATTGATTAAAAAAAATCGATTAATTTAAATTAATAACATGGATGCTTTAAAAATAAAATATAAAATGTTACTTTTTCTTGCTCTCTCCTCTTTCAACTAGTTATTTTCCATGCTTGTGAGAAATGCTAGCGTTAAGAACCTACTAACGTTCTCTTAAATTACTATTAAGCAATTCGTTTTTTCTTTATTTGTCTGTATTTATACGGAACTTGAAAATTACAAGCGCTAATTTGCGATAAGACGCAAAACGTTGTCGTCAAGGGGTCTCTAATTACGTTGGCACGTCTTATCCTTGCCCGGGGATCTCTCGATTCTGAGAGATTAGCAAGATAATCCTGACACTCCGATAATCTCAAAGCACTCTCTCTCTCTCTCTCGTTGCGCGTGTCAACGTCATAGATGCGATATATAGAGTAAAAGCGCGCGCTCTCTCCCTGTGATAGTTATTGCGCCGTAGTTGCAACAACCGGATCAATATTTATACACGCTCGCGTCTCTCTCTCTCTCTCTCTCTCTTTCTCTCTCTCTCTCTCACTCTCTCATATCGGAATTACGTTGCGTAAACATGACGCGTATATATTATGGTCATTAGTGCGCGACGTAACGCGCTATTCGAAAAAGAGTGTCAGCACGTTTCGAGATTAGGCGTGGTTGGCGTATATACCTACGAGGGTGACAAAGTAATTAGCCCGGCGCGTATCCTTCGGCTTTTGGCTTCGTGATGGATGACGTACAGTCACCTCGTAACCGTCTGTTATTCCGAGACAGTTTTCCGTACAAGAGACACATGTGCGCACCGCGCCGTTTCGCCTGCTGAAACCGTGTTTTCTGTCTTAATCCTTTGATACACTCTATTTGTTTCGTCGCGTCAGGAGACATGTGTGTACTAAAATTGTGATATCTAAGTTTCTAATTAACAATTTGTTTTTGTCGACTAACGTAAGTAATTTCATCAGTGATTGGAGTATCATTGATCGGACTTCTTTATTAAAGAAATAATTATAACAAAATATTTTTATACATGTACAAGTACGCCCTTCGTGAACTAACATGGGTCTTTCGGACCCATTCAAAACTTGCGCATCGGCGTCTCTAAAAATTCGTTGTTTTAAACGCTATATTTTTGAAACTACTAGAAATTTTTGTTTTATTATCTGCGCAGAATCGTTCAAAGTTTTGATTCAAAAAAACAAAATTGAAAAATATTGACTTTCCGCGGAGATGTTTAATTTTTTAAGTCGCGTGGGTCTCACAGAGGAAAGGACTTTGGGAAAGTATTTTCGAAACGTCCCTTGTAGGAATTGACGAACGGCCCAGTATTGGGTCAATATCGGCAAACGAGGCTCGATATTGGTACGACAGTAGTAGCCAGTACTGGGCGAATATGATTAGATCGAGCCAACGCTGGCTCTTAAGCTCGGCACGATACTTACTTCCGAGATTGGTCAGATATGGATTTCAAGTATTGGCACAATGTTGCAATTTTATA